CATCTTTCTTTGTTGTTGTGTCTAAAAGCAGCCATATGTCATCAGCAAACCTCTCGTGTATATTGAACTTTCTTAGCACATCAGCTTGTCTCTTTGAATCTGTTACCTGATGTCTTTAAAGTGGCAAAACACAGAAACATGGGTCCTCCTGGTCCCTTGTTTGTCAGATCAGCAGTTAGGGATATTGTAGAGATGGGGCATTTAGGCCCTGAAGCAGTGTCTATTCTAGCTTTGTTTTTTAATTTCTCTTTGTTCCAGCTCAACTAGCAGTAATAGGGCTCAAATTAGCTCTACACTATACAGCAGTAAGTACACCTATCCTTTATGTATAGCCCCACAGCTACAGAGCACTGGTGGGAGCACTTGCTTTTGGTGTTGCCTCCAACACAACCGCTCTGATTTTCCAGCTCCGTCTGCCTGCCCAGGTCCTTTATTTGGTGCTATTTTTAATATAAGTGCTCGTCTCAAGGAATTAACAAAGATGTAACAACAGTATAATGTCTTTCTGCTCAAAACATTAGCATCAGTGCTTGACTACCGTTATGACATGTCTAGCACAATGTATATGCATAACAGGGAAGGATATTTGTTCTAGGAGAGATAGATCGAAAAGGTGAGCTTTAAGTAAAGTTTGAAGTGCTTTTGGTTCAGAAGATACCCTTATCTTTTCTAAAAGCAAGTTTTGTCATCCTGGTTGTGTAGTTCCGTATGCGAAATCTCCTCTTTTCCTTCCCCATTTTGGATGACATTGCACAGTTAAGGTATTGAAAAGGCTGTGATATCACGAGATGGGTAACACCGTAAGGAGCTAGGACCATGCTGTAAATGGAGCTCCTAATGCTGGATAGTCTATCAGAGGAATATGTTCATTGGACTCGTCGTTGCTGTTGAACTTTGAAACTTCTGGCGTGTAGTGGTTTCTCTCTGTTCTGAATGAGTTCCAGTCATCACACACATAAATTCAGAAGGGCATCCATTTTGGAGGTCAGTCCTGTGGCTGAAGCACGGTCTTCTCATCATCTGCACATAGAGAATTTGGTGCTTTGTGGCACTGGTATTTGACCATCCAGTAGCACTGCAGAAAGAGTTCATGCAATACGCGTGGTTACCTTGGCAATAAAGTGATGAGAGACACTCAGTAGAATGTGGTGAGAATGTTTAGAGGTGGTGAGATTTTGAAAGTGCTTTCCTTTTTTATGAGCGTTAACTCATTTGTTACTGAGATTCATTCTTAAACAGACAATTAGGTAATGCTTTTAATAGGCTGAGAAAAGTTAAAGGATGTCAATGTGTTCTTAATCTTGACATTTGTAACTATCGATAACATTTTGTACTTATTATGTTTTTCAGAGTGAAAAATTTAGTCTTTCATCTTCTGATTAGAAACTCCCTTTTGTGTTTCTTCCTCTGGATTTAACTTCCCAAATAAGTAAATAAATGAATGTCATACAAAATTTTATAATCTGTACCTCAACTTGAGTAAAATTATTACATGCGTATACATGCTTAAACTCTCAAACCTCAGAACAGATCCAACTATACTGGGTGTACATAGCACTACAACACCACTATTTATTATTATTTCATTTACTGGAAGCAAACTAACAAGACAGGATAAATTTTATATAGGAAAGTATTATAAAATAATGCAGAGCAACACTAAATAGCTATCATTAAATAACTTAAAGTGCAATATATTTGGCAGGATTTTTTGCCATGCAGTCATGTTCCTTTGATGTTCAGAGAAAGAGGAGCTCTCTGGTGCCCTTCGCCAATACATACCTGTATAGTTAAGGCTGTAATGACACTTGTCTGCAATAGAGTCAGCAAGATGCAGAAAACATGTAAAGCTGTGACCTATACCTTTAATTCATTTCAGCTAGTTCCATGCTGATGAAGTGATCTATCATCATCGTTACCATGTTATAGTACGTATTCCTACAAGAAAGTTTAGCCACTGCAGGGATGACCGGACTAACATCGCCTGGCATCCAGCAGTGTACAGACTAAACTATAGTTTTAGTTAGAGGATATGAAAACTGACAACAAATTATTGCTTGTGGTCTTTTTCCAGTTTTCAAGTGCAAACATACCAAAGTTTATTTTAAATCTGAGCCAGTCAGACATTTAGTAATATAGATCAAAGAAGAAATGAAGGCCTCCCATGCTTATTATTTCAATATGATGTCTGTTCTAATAAAGTGTAAGAATGCTTGTGATAAACTAACTAGTAGGAATTTTCTGGTTCTGTAGTTTAGCCTTCAATATATACATATATTTGTAAATTAATCAGAAACATATTGTCGTGGTTTCAGTTCCTCAGAAAGCTGATTGTTTTCAATCCTTTCTTTAATCTTAGAAATATGGTGGCGGTCTGCCAGAACACTTTCAGATAAACAGTCCACTTCACATTTAAAAGCCGTAGAATCACTGATGTTAGGTGTGGGGGGGTGGGGGGGAGACAACAGAAAACAAAAGCAGCCCTCTCTCTCTTCCTCAAAATGTAGAATATTATTTAAATAAGTTAGAGTTGTTGTGCTATTGTCCCTCATTCTTAATTAGAAATAATAAAAGCCATCTGTGCAAGGTGAATTTTGATAAGATCTCGGCTTTTAAGTGTTTGTTGATCTTGTGTGCATGAATTTTCAAATGTCTTAATAGCTCCAGGATGGCTATCACACTGAGTAGGCTCACTGATTTCCATCATGCTCTGTGCTGTTGAATGCGATTCTGTTTATGTGTGGTTTATGTCCACTGAAATTTAAAAAAATATTATTCCTTGCAGTACAATAAGTATTTAACTGAATGGAACTGTTTCCATTTGGAGGAGTTTTCTGATAATACCAGCTCCTCACAGTTTGGGATTGAATGCAATTAAAATAAGGAGCTGTTTTACATGAATTGCATACTGGACAGCATTTCTGTGGCTACTTTCCAGAGACAGGATTTTCTGCAGTCTCCTTGTACCCTTTTTGGCAGGTCCATGTTCATGTTCCCGCTTTAAAAACGAATATACTCCTCAAACCAAAAAAAGGAAAGCTCAGAAGTGATTGTCTTGAAGCTTGGAAATGGAATACAGGATTTCTTTTCTTTCAACCTGTGTTTTCAGTCAATTAAAATTTGTACTCAAGGCTTTTCAGCTTGAAGCCACCCCTGTGTCTGTGATGAGCAATCCTTCTTGTTTGTGCAGTCATTCATTATCTCCATTACCAAGAGGAGAATAGAGGACAATTACATTGTTTGGACGAATCAGAGTGTTAGGAGGAGTATTTATCATGGTGGCAGAGTGCAGCACCTGACAGCGCACGATTGATGGCCAGGAATGAGTGTGAGTGGCCAAAGCAGCCTCATATGATGCAAATTACTGACTGTGGATTCCAATTTATCCTGTTCATTTTTCTTGCCTTTGCTGAAGACTATTAGTGGTTTTTGAAGCAGTGAAGGGGTCATTACTAATGTGGGCTAGAAGCAGGAGGGGGAAGGAGGGGAAAAGCCTTCTGTAATTACACAGCCTTCAGGAAAAGGCTGCGGGCCTAGCCAAAAAAGTGTCAACACTTAGCAATCAGAAAAATTTATTTTCATTTTATCCTTAACCCATATTAACTCAACATTATCATCTTTCTTTGTTAATATTTGCAGAATATTAAAAGCCTGACTTCTATATTAATACAAATCTATTTAACCCTTTTTGCTGTGAAGTGATGTTGCTTTCCTTAATGTCAATTTGTTGATGGCATTAAACAGTGCTTGCTTTTAAAAGTGCAGATAATGGAAAATTAAATAGTCAATCCTTTTAAAAAAACTAATTCCAGATGACTGATTATTTGTATCATTTACAAAATTGTAGCACATTAGAAACATATGAGAAAAAATTTACTGAAGGAGAGGTATGAGAGGCTTCTGTATTAAAATGTAACATCAATACAGAAGAAAAACAGTTTGATTTGGGGGTTTTGGGGGTGTGATCTGTAAGCAATAACTGAAAGTTTCATTTTGCAGCATAATGAATCATGTGCATTTAAAACATATGCATATTTAATTTAATGCCTATTCAAACCCTACTTAGGCAGCTCTCTGGGGCTTATATGTGAATTAATGATCTCCAAAAGCCCCTCCTGCCTATCACAATTGAGCATATTGATTATGTGCATAGGCGATGTATGAACTTTCCCCAAAAAAGCTCTTTGTGGAGGAAAGAGAGGGGTGCACAGGAAGGGAGGGAGTAGGTTTATATCTGTTTATTTTTTCATTAGAAAATTAAACTTGAAGCCATGAACTATGATTTCGCCCCCTTAGCAGTGTCATAGGTAAGCACTAAGTAACACACTCCTTGCCCCATAAAAGGTTCAACACAAATATATTGGCAATAAACTGTACAGTAATTGAATTGGTTGTCATGACTCCTAAGAACCGGTCCTGAACATATTGTTCCTATAAGTTTATATTCTATATATTCAGTAACTTCTGTTCAACTAAATACATATTGGCACAACTCTGTCCTCTCTTGTAGAGAAGGATAAAACAGCTAAAGCATGAAGGCCAGCCTTATCCACGGAATAATTGTACTGGTTTCTGTGTAATAACACCATAGACAAATTTCATTCAAACAGCGTGTTCTCTTAAAATATTTCAAATCACCTAGAGTTTTCTACAGTATTCTTTTAAAAAGCCAACATGCATGCTGAGTTCAAGAAATAAGAAAACTGCAGAGGTACATTTACCTATAAGGGATATATAGTTGAATGGTGTATGTGTTTCTCATATACCTTTTGTTTGGGTGTATCAGCTTCAAAGTGAGTTGCAGAAGGATTTAGGTAGCTGTAAGCCAGCTAAGATTTTGTTCAACAGTCGCCGTGAATTTTTTTTTTAATTCTGCTAGTTTAAAAACAGGAAGTAGTATCAGACCTTAAGGATACAAAACACGTAAAAGATGGTATCATTCTGACAGTGCATCTTTCTTAACTTCTGATTTATCTTTTAAAACATTTTTTTTTTATTAGCATCCATATCCTTCAGAGGAGCAGAAGAAACAGTTAGCCCAAGACACAGGACTTACAATTCTACAAGTAAACAACTGGTAAGTGACCCTACAATCAATATCTTTACTCCCATGGCTAAACTGCAATTTCTAAATAATTGTTTTCTTTTTCATTTCTGAACCAAATGCCATTGACAAGGAAAATTCCTATGTTCTTTCTTTTACGTATGAAAGTAGTACTTAGGGAACGTTAAAGCTAACCT